CGATCCGCCTCAAAACGCCCGTTCATTTTGCACTTGAAATTTACAACAACAACGATTAAAATCTTCTCAAGTTTTTTTTTCTTTAATTTTTCTTCACTTATACAATAAGGAACGGTAAGAAATATATTGCTAGACTCGTTTTCGGGTATTGCTCGATTTTTTCAAAAATTGCAAAAAGGTATTCAAAACTACAAGAAAAAAAGAGAGATCTTTTTTGGTTTTTTACAAGTCGGTTTTACAAAATTAGCCCTTTAAAAAAAGGACATGTACAATTTTTTGAGAAAACTAGTAGTTTTTTCATTATTTCTGGTAGAAATTAATGAAATACATTCAGGTTTCACACCAACTACAGCCCATGAGAAAAACTGAATAAATGAAACGAAAATTAATAAATTTAATTTTAATTATAATTTCCTACTGAAAATGCCAATATTAATTCAATTTTTGCTTTCTCGCACTTTTTCTTTACTTAATTGTACAATTTGTGTTCTCAAGGTATTTATGTACATTTCAATGTATTTGAAGTTCTAAGTGTATTTGTATTTTTCTTACAATCGACTTTTGTTATACGTTTACGCATTAATCTTTAAGAAAAAAATTAAAACTTATTTGAAATACCGCTAGCTTTCAGGGGATATCACATCGGAATGCTCCAATGACTCGACGACAATGACTCAGAAGCTCATGCATCTTATCGTTGGAACATGATGCATTAACATGCATGAAAATCAGTTATGATTGTCAAATTTGTGTTGATATTTGTTTGAAAATATTTTGTGTTTGCACCAAATGTTGTACGATTTGAAATGTATAGGGTTGGGTAGTATTTAAATACTAGTATGTGAAATATGTTTTTTTTAATAATTCGTATGATCAACCACTCAACTTGAATGACTGTTTTCCTTTGTAGGTTTTTATGTATTTGCCAACTAGGGGTTTATTGTATGATTTGTTTTGAAAAATCAGTCGTTTTTAAGGAAATTTCATTTCTTTGTGTTAGAATATTTTTTAATATCATTTTATATTTGAACATTTTAATTCATATGGTTACAATACATTACAATATTTATTGTTCAGAAATTTGTAGGACTGTCAATTACTAATTTACTGTAGTTGATAATATATTGTTGTAAAAAATGTATAATATAAAATATACTACAATATATTTACTATAAAATATATTTGTTATATATTTACAGTATTTTGAGTTCAATGTACTTCCTGGAATTAATTCTTAAATGTTGAAAAGTTGTAAAGTAAAAACTGCAAAATAACAAGCTATTTTCCCGAAGGCGCTTTTCAGAGGATCGGGACGGCAACACCGTGCGCGTAGCGCGCTTCATTCAAATCGAGCGACAAGTTTCTTAAAAAAAGAGTTCTTACACTTCCCTCGGTTACTGGGAGCAATGCACAGACTCTCACTCCTGGAAAATCTTACCTTTGATATTAGCTGACATTTGATGGATAGAATAAAAATATACATTTTGCTGGATAGAAACTAGAATGTAGAAAAAGGTTTGAATTTTGGCAACTTTTGAAAAATCAGGTTTTTCAACGAAAATGAGACCTACACCATTGTATAAATGCTCTTTATACTATCGATCAATAAAATGTAATCAAAAACGTTGGAGCTAGTACACGTACATATACACGGAGTAATATACGTAGAATAGGGAAAGTTATGTAATGCTGCGGAAAATCGATATTTCAACGAAAATTACACCGGGGGGTTCCCTGATACCGAAAACGTGTTTTTTTTAAACGTCCGTCATTCTCTTCGTCTGTCTGTGAACACCACTAGTGTCATACGTAGGATTTTTTTCCAAATTGAAGAAACCCGTGTCCATCTGGCTCGAGTCGAATCTTCGAGATTTTCAAAATACAACTTTACAATTTGGGGTTCCTTTCATGGTGCCCTCCGGTCATTTTTATACTTTTTCCAAAAACTGCTCCAGATTTTTTCTTTAAATTTCTTGTAAGAACAGAGTAAAATGCAGTTAGAAGGTGGCATATGTCTAATTTTCAGGTTTTACTCTGAATTTTCGAAAATTTCAAAAGTATATTTTTTTGTGTTCCTACAACTACAAAATAAAAGATAGATATTTTTCCTGCAATTGAAATTTGTTCTTCATGGTGAGTTCTTCTATTAAAATCATGTACATTTGTTTAAAAATTTTAGTAGTTTTCGCGCAATATTGCGTGCTATATATGCAATTTTAAAAAAAATTACAGAAACAAGATATTCTCAAAAATACTTACGTACTCTACTACTACTTTACTACTTACTTAAGTACTCTGTAAGATGACATAAACACCATATTGCTTTATTCTTTTAATTTTTCAAAAATTACAAAAATGTAGTTTTTAACTTTTTTTCTCACGTTTTTAATGTTTATATTAGCGGCAATTGGTTCACATAAGTATATTTATGAGTACTTTAAATAGTACTTCGAATTATTTTGCTATACAGCCTATCTATAGATCCAATAACTGCTATTCCTCTTTAATTTATTTCATTGTCTCTACATCCTTTTTTATGCATATGTGTTAGGTAAGACGTTCTCCACTCCCGAGGAGGATCTTTTCCATTCATGTACCTTGAAAACATGTGTTTGAGCATTTGGTGCAATTTATACGGACTATATTTCAGTAATTCTGCCGGTATATCTCCCGGACCAGATGACTTATTAGATTTCATGGTCGTAAGTGCTTTTTCTAAATCTTCAATTGTAAGATCTACTCTTTGCTCAAATTTCACTTCCTTGTTTGACTGGAAGTTTCTGTTTTCTAGCAGCAGTCTTCCGAAATACCCTTTCCATTTATTGATGTTGTTTGATAGTGCGATATTGTTTTCTCATTCGATTTAATAGATTAAATGTACATATGAATATCCTTATGTTGGAAGAAAGTGTTATTAATTATCATTTCATACTCTTCATTAAATAGCTAAGAAAGTTTTCCATGCGAAAATACAGGATGAGGCAAGCACAACCCTTTCCAGGAATTGTTATGAAAAATAAAGCAGGTTTTGGATGGGCAGGGCGCCACTTTTCTGAGGTACGAAAATTTAAAAAAATATTTGTACACTAAAAAATATTTGATTTTTTTCTATGTTCTTATGTACCTCAAGGAAAGTAATCCCCCCCCAAAAAATAAAACTAATATTTTCACCTTTGAGTAATAAATACCACTTGTTACCACTAGAAACAATTCTGTACCCTTAGACTTCACTTTGGTAGTTGGCGGAAGGTTGCTCAAACGATGTTTACGTATTGAATATCTTAGCGAACCGACACGTTAAGTTAATCAAGTGTTTTCCTTTTAATTTCCTTTAGGTTTCCTTAGGTTAAGTACATCAAATGGTGCATTACTTACAAGTAAAATATATGATTTTACAACTGGGCATTGATGTACAGACATCCAGATACCACCAACATTTAAACCTTGCGTCTGGATTGTGATCGTTGGCAGTTGTTGAATGACTTGCGCTATTCTTTCTACAATTTTAAATTTGTTTACTTTTTTAAAATTAATTTACGTCGTATTGTATGCTAGCGCGCGTTTTAATTTTTGATGTTCAATTATTTTAAGCTACGTGTTTTAATTTAGTTAATTTAAAAAGTTCGTTCTTAGTGTTGTGCCATAGCACAAGTTTTCCCCTACTACCTCCGCGTACCCGTGCGAGAACTCTCGCATGTTACACCCCACACTTCCCTATTCTTCTGTTCTATTCTAAGAGGTTAAGCTGTAATCGAAACGTATTTATTTGTTCAAAAATGTATAAAGTAACTTACATTGTACTTCTATGCAATTGATGTGGAAAACCAATTTTCATTCAAGATGTTTTCGGTGTTATCGAGAGATTTCTTGAAACAATTCACAACACTCTCTTAAAAATATTTGAACTAATTATTCAAATTTTTTTAACAGTTAGCTTTTCGTTTTTCATTACAGTCACAAAAATATTTAAAAGGCTTTTTACTCTTGAGAAAGCTACGTGACTGAACACGCTGACTTGAAAGATTCACCGAATCACTGCTGGTAACGAAAATTCTGGTACAGGTAAAACACAAATCAAACCTAAAAAGACACGTCTTCACTGTACACCCGCATCACTCCACAATTAGGTTCACAGCACTTGTAGGCCTCGGCAAAACGTTAAATATGTGTTTAACTACACGCACAAGAAACTATCTTCATCGGTATCAAGCAACTATTAATAGTACTTCCAGTTGTTGCTGCGGGAGCGAATCTTTAATTAATATATATGCAAATAAACCTCGTCAGTCTGCGCAAACCATGGAGTACACAGAAAGCATAAATAGTATACGATAAAAGAATCTAAACCTTCTAAGCGTGACGTAATGGCCACCATCATTAAGGGTTGAAATGTAGATGGCATTGATAATATCGGTAAGTGCCGAATCAGCAAAAATTTAATAGAATGTCCAAGAATCTCATCCTGTAACGTCCGGTGTGATGAACGATTCTTCGAGGCCACCGTCCTCAAAATGTTAGTTTTTAAGACCCTGGAACGCTTCGTTTAGGAGTTATTAAAGGATATATCTGACTGACTGCTGCGGGTTGCATTTCACATGATTACTTAGATACGCTTTTCAAAACAAATCCTTCAAATTTTTCAAGTCAAAGCGCAATTTGTCACGCCTCCATGAAATTCTCTTTCTTTAGAGACCTCATGTATACAGATCGGTTGCGTGTGAGCGCCGCAAAAGGTATGTATACTACTGAAATAATATAGGAGATGATTACACAAAAAACAAATGCCTGGAAATTTCGTGTTTTTTGGGGTGGGGGCTATCACAACGTTTCCCGAAGTATTTCGAGTTGGAAAACTCCTTACTAATGACAATTTCAACAAAACAAAAAAAATTAAAACCTACTTCCTCACTATCCATCGATCTCCATAAGGAGATCCACCTTGCAAAAGGTGGGGTCGTTGGGGAGGCATATACCTATTTGCATAATCAATAGTAATAATAATAATAATAATAATAATAATAATAATAATAATAATAATAATAATAATAATAATAAATGCCGCAGTGTGATATTCACTTAACTATCTGGCAGCCCCATGGTGTAAGAAATATCCTCTTATATTAAACGAGGACAACGAGATAGACAGTGGGACCTGAAGGCGGTTGCGAAATTCGGCGAATCCCGAACAATCGCTCGCCGAATCCCGTGTAGTGTGCACGGGTTGCTTGCGATTCGCCGAGTGCCGAACATTCGGTATTCATCAAAGGAAGCGAACATTCGCCAAACACATCAGCTGTTCGGGATTGGACGAGCTGCTCGGCAAATGTCCAATGTGTGGGGCCGTCATTATATTAGGACACTCTGTCTGTGGGCAAATCTGGAACGAGACAAGGAAGAATTGAGCATAGTAAATCGACTCTAATATATTTAGTGTACACGTCTCACGGTGTAAGTACTGTGATGAGTCTATAGTTCGATTAATTTAGTCGTGCACTTGATGTAAATCAGCTGTTGCGGTTTCATGCCGATTGGATGGAACTTATATGCGGCGCCTTCGTGAGAACGAAGGCGCCGTTCTGTCGCCACAGTGACGTCACTATGGAGACGTTCAAGCTCCCGATTGGATGAAACCATGAACCGATTTACGTCAAGTGTTTAGTTAAATAAATGCAAGTATACGAGTCTGATCGAGACTCTACAAGACTAGGCGAATAATAGGCTTTTCCTGGACGTATAAGCCACCAGGTCGTGAACTGTGTCAGCTGATAATTTGCCAATAATTTCGTGTAAATTATTGTGTATATTTCAGATAAATGATGGACGATAAAGATTCATGGCAAACGAGTGATGAGTAAGGAATAGTATGTAAATTGTATGTACATGTAGATTGAGCTGTCTCAAATGATTCTTATCCGTAAAATTAAAATTTTGTAAATATAAAATACATGTCTATCCAGTTAACCAGAATGACAATTCCTGGGGATGAAGTCTTACCTCAAATCATGACGACCGAAAACAGTAAGATAGACACAAAAACAACTTATTATTCCTAATGCACTTACAATGAATAAGGTTATTAAAAAAATCTGTTTTTGGTTTCAAGCAAAAGAATGGGTATGGGATCCTGAAGAGACAACAAGTGCCACTGTCCTTAAACGTGGCAATCAAGAAGTATGTTTCCATCCTAGTTACAGTTCTGGTACAGCTGCTGTACGTGGTAATATGCCACTTACTCCAGGGCGAGATTATTTTTGGGAAATTGAAATGCTTACTCCATTGTATGGTACTGATGTGGTATGTATGTTTCACTTGATCCTATATTGTCGATTACTTGAAAAGCAATGTCATGATCAAGGAATTATTTTATTACAGATGGTTGGAGTGGGAACTAAGAAAGCAGATTTAAAAAAATATCAGTTTCAGTTTGGTAGTTTATTGGGCTCAGATGAAGAATCATGGGGTTATTCTTATAGTGGTAAGATATATAATTTATCCATGAGTTTATTTTACATTATTGTTACATTTACAGTTCTGTGATTGTCAAAATGTGTAATGCTCAATGTAGAGAATAGCATCCCCCACCCCACCACCACCATCCTACACATGAATGCCATTGGTATGTCTCCAAGGCTGCCTATAGGCCTAAGTAGAACAACTCACCTACATGACAATGTAATGTATATGTAAATAAAAGGGAATGTGTTTATGTCTGTCGCATATAGATGCAAAAACTATTTGTCCGTTTCACTGAAATTTTGACTCTTTATTCTTATTATTATTATTGAGAGTATACGTGGGCTCAAGACGAGCTGGGCTTTACACTGTTCCTAGAGGTCCTTGTGTGAACTGTGATCTATGGATATCTTTTGAATTTGAAGTCTTGCTTCAACTCATTATATTGAATAACATCGGAGTTGTGATCTAGAAAGCAGGAAGTCTGAATCAGATGCTGGCAGCGCACATTATTCAAATATTTAATTTTTAAAGTGTAGCGTAATATAGTTAAGTGTTGTTAATGCGTAGTTCATTTTCTTTAAATAAATTGAGTTTAAACTTGCTCAAATACATTGCAATAGCAAAACATTACTGGGTCTGCTAGTTTAAAATAAACGCTAGTAGAAACAATTCTTAATAATATAGACTTTCACAAACAGAAAGTTTGTAGAAACTAACAATTAAACATTTTCATCAGTTTCATTTGGTTAAAGTAGGGTACACGGTACACTCTCAGTGAAGCATGGTGGCGGGGCTTAAGCTCTTCCTCAAATTACACTATGCGCTTCGATAAAAATGAATAAAACCTATGGATAGGTGATTTTCATGTCTTGCCCATCATATGCTTTGTTCCCGTCACATTGTAATGCCAATTTACTTTCAAAGGCAAATTTTCCCACTTCGCTTGCCAGTCAGGGTGGACCGGGCCTTCGCCCTCGTGTTCACTATAAACATCCTCGATCCTATTCATTGTGTAATTACCAATTCACTTTTACAAGAAAGCACGTTTCGAGAAAACCTTGTACACAAAATTTAAACTGCGCAGTTATCGCGTGAGCAGTGCAAAGTACCGGTTTGAAAGACTTCTGTATGTTGTACCGTAGACCTCAGCCTTTCATTTCCCCTCCAAATATTACGAAGAATATTATGAAGTAATACATCAATTGTCATGTTTTTTAAACGAATAAAATACAAGTCTAAAAATAAGTGTAATTGTCACCTTCTTGGATGTGTTTTTGCTCAGAAATATGTTCCACAGACATAAAAAATACCAAGTTGTGACTGTGTTACTGAGTAACAAATGTATTTTATTAACGAAATTTGTTCAAAGAATTGTCACCCCGACCGAGATTCCAAACTCAGGGCCTCCTGGTTTACGCCTAGTTGCTCTAACCACTACACTACGAAGACAACCAGTTCTATGAACCGGTTCTTAGGGTTGATGTATTGCCCGTTTTGTTTCATATAATTGTCTCTACACTGTCACCTTGTCTGATTCTTGCTTGTTTCGGCAGCTTAGTGGTTAGAGCAACTGGGCGTAATCCAGGAGACCGCTGTTTGAATCCCAGTCAGAGTAACAATTCTTTGAACACATTTAATTAATAAAAATAAGAAAAATAATTTAGAAAGTCTTGTTTACAGGTTGAATTTTATGTACGATTATTAAATAAACCTTTGTTTAATTTTTCATACTTAATCTTTAATGAAATCTATAATATGTTTGCAGGAAATCTAGCTCATAATGGAATATTGAGATCGTATGGCTCAAGATTTTGTCAAGGTCACACTGTTGGTGTGCATCTGGACATGTGGAGGGGAATCTTGACCTTCTATCTTAATAGACAACCTTTAGGTGAGCATATACCCCAGTATCATAACGAAAGGAGTGTGGGCCCGCCTGCAAAATTTTTATTCAGGCCAGCTTTATTAAAATGTTTAGCAAACACATGTAGTGTTAGTAAATTAAATAATCAAAATATCCTTTAGCAAACTCATAGTCGTCAGTCTGTGATTAACAACCAGTAGTAGAAAATCTGTGTTTATTATTTCATTTTATGAAATGAAGACTGTTATAAAACCTAAATGAATCGCTTACCTTTATTGATTTAGAAACAGGGTTACATAAGTTACTGAAGCAGGAAAAAATATTGTTCTTGAAGATCGGTTTTTAATCTTCTAGTGTACAAACTATTGCAAAGTAGTTTAAGAGTAAGTGGTAATGGAAAGCATTGTGTTCAGGTCAAGTTATTAGTCTGGTGCAACACTGAAAACTTTTTTGCACTCATTTTTACTTTCCAGTATACATAAGTATATACAGAGTAATATGCATAGTATACGGAAATGGGGCATGATCTTATAGCTCACCAAGACCAAAGGAAATAGAAAACTAATCGGGGAAAGTCTGTGCCATTCTGTAGCATGATTACTTCTTCTGTTTTCTCCTTTTCAAAATGTCAACAAGGTATTAATGCCTACCTTCCATAATAAAACTTATTGATTGTGCAATTCCCTACTAGATATTAAAGTGGCTTGTATTAACTATTCAAATCATTCATACCTGTAAGTATTTTTATGATGATTATAATTCCAAATTCCAATATTACCAGTAAATATCCCATATGGCGGTAACAAGGAAGGCCACTCGATGTTGGAAATTTTTGAATGGGAGTATCACGTGCTACAATTATTCGTTGTTAAGTCCATGGCCTAATACTCTTAGAAATATTTGAACAAAGCTACGCATGACACTTAAAAATTGTTAACACATGAAAATAAGTTTGAAACTGCTTATTAGTATTTTTGCCAATAATTCTGTGATGTTGTAAAATTGTTTTGTTTTTCTTTTTTTAGGTGTAGCATTTATGTCTTTGAAGGCTCATATACTTTACCCCATGGTCTGCTCTACTGCTGCTCGATCGGCCATGCGCATAGTTTGTTCGTATTCTTGCGCATCATCATTGCAGCTCTCTTGCCTGAAAGCATTAGGAAGCAATGAACCCTTGGTCAGGAAAGTGAAAGCAATTCCTGGTCTTCGCGTGCTTGCAGAAAGTGCTTTCTGGCAGTTCTTCCCACGTTCCAGTCCGTTCAGTAGAGGTAAGATTCGTTTTGTCAAAAGTTGTGGGAGTATAGGGATGTCCCAAAGCTTTGCATGTATTGGAAAAAGATGGTTTTGTCACATGTCCAAACAACCAATGGTTTGCCAGATGTGACATGTTTGGTTGTATTTGTAGCTGAGTATTATGATTGATGATTACCATAAAACAAGCTTTAATCAGAGAATAGTTTCTTTGCAGTAAAGTACAGTACTTTAAGATTTTAGGTTGTATTTGACAGTTCTTTTGTGAATTACAATAAAACTCCACAAATCTAAATTTTCAGATATTCCGAACAAAACTCGAGGTGGAGAAAAAATAAACAAAAAACACCTGATTACTATTAACTTAATTTATGAATGAAAAATAATGAACACAGTCAACCCAATTCTGAATACTGTTCGTAGAATGCCCATTTAACAACAACCACACAAACTGTGCTTCAACTCTTCTAAACAAGATAACAGCTACTACTGCATGTAATAGGTTATGTACATATTGTACTTCATTGTTCGCATCATTGCCACTTCATGTGGCTATGCTACATTACCATTTTCTTATATTGCATGCTACATTGCATTATGTCTGGTAATCCTACAGATGTATTTGTATAAGTACGATACGTTTTCTTGGGTAATCCAAACGCATTCAAAATTGAACTGACCACACCCCAATTAGTTCAAAATACCAGGGTTCTACTGTATTATACATTGTTTTTTAATTTACCTCAATTTGGACGTATATTCTTTACAGTAGTTTAAAGGTTATATATTTGAAAAAGAAAAAAAAAAATTGAAAGATAAATTGCTTTAACTTATTCTTTATTTCAGGTGAAGCAGTGAATCATCTATGTAATCAAGAGGGCCACATGGATGATGAAGTTGAATTAGATTATTCTCATTCAATGTGTTCAGGTGAGTTTTATCAGTCGGTTCCGATTTCAGTTGATAGAAGGCAGCCTTCGAAAAGAGCCAGCGATAGCACGGAAGCTTGTTATGAACTCCGGAGACAATTCTGTGTGCAATGTCGAAGACCTGAAAACACAAATGATCAGTCTAGCGGTGATGAGGCGAGTAGCTCAAAACGAATGTGCTTTCTTTGTGATATACTTTTTTAAAAATATCAAAAAACAGTGCAATTGTGAAGTTATAACAAACAGACTAGCATTTGATTAATGATGCTAGTAAGTCTGGGAAATGTGAAAAAGAAATTATCGAAAATTTAAGTGCTACATTTTAAAAAATTAATAATAATATTGTTATAGCGTAATGTACTTTTAGTATGTTTGAAATAAGCCATATTTTTATATGAAGCTGTTTGTAGTAAGTTTCACTTTCTCCGTATTGAAGGTGGGGACCTGATGGAATGGTTAGGTACGCCCATGCCCAACAGACTGCATTCAGACTATCATGAAATTGTTAATAGAGTTGAGCGTACCATTGAGTCATTTTTGGACAATAATTGAGTTGTACCCAAGTGATTTCTGATACCATGTGCATAGTGAATGAATAAAAATGGAGAGAGAAAAGAAAAAAACTGTAGTTTGGTTTCTCACTTGAAGGTGACATCTTTCAGACATTACAATTGTTCATTCAGGAATGAGTTGCTTATCTTTTGACATTAATGCTGTAACCTGTGATATTAAAAACATGCACTGTTATTTTGTAGTCAGGTATTGTTTAATGTATTTTGCCAAAATGAATTATATAAATCAATTATTTTAGATTTGTTTTTATCAAAGGATGTTTCCTTTCATGTTTAAATTGTTAGTAATTTTGATGTTCAAGTATGCAGGTCATAAATTAGATTGTTATTTGCATACCAATTTTAAAATTCCATAAGTTTGAATTTTAAAAAAATTTCAAGTAATTGGTTTACAGGACACTCCTTTAAATTAAATTTTAAAAAAATTGTCCAATGATTCAACTGTAAACTCACATTCAGAAGTAATATGAAATAGCAAACGTGTGCCATAAATGGAGGTCATAAAATATGGAATTAATATTTCAGGCATTGATATCCCCCTACAATTTGCTCCTGTGTTAAGGTGTTGAAATGTTGACCGTGTAATCTGGTTGTGTTGTTCTGGCCTCCAATTGATATCTAATGAATAATAGATTGTCTTTAATTTGTGGCCTACATATTTGACTCCTACATTCCTCCCATCATCCAACAATATAAGGAAAAAAAAAAAAAATCTTCATTCCTGCATTTCACCACAGTATGTTACATAAACATTTGTTGCTGATTAAATGATTATCAAACTAACAAACTATTGAAATTCTTTATGTTAAACATTTTCACACTGTTTGTGGCCCATTTTTACTTTCTTGATTTATTACGTATCAAGTAAAGAGAAAGTATTGTAAAAAGGCAGCGGAAATTAGCGATTTTTTGACAAAAATGCTCTTGTAGTAGGGCCCTGCTAATGAAAAAGTGCATAAACCATTGTTCCAATATGTGATAAAGTAGTTCCTGTTATACATTTTGTAGTGAGACTTCAGATTTCGTGGTTTCTTAATATTGAAAAACGAGTGATGTTGAAATGCCTGTCTGTCCATCTTGGTTGATGCTAAGATATGTTCCATTTAAGATTCTTCTCAGGCATATCAACTTGTAATCCACCCACCATACTTAACATTGACTTGGAGACTTTCTGCTTATGTTTTAAGTGGAGTTCAACCCCAACTGAAATACAGTGGAAGTATTCCAGCCATGGTTCACTGGATATTGGCATGCTTTCTAAAGAACAGGGTGGCCAGTGAACCTGGAATCCTTGAAAACCGGGAATTTGAAAAAACTTGGATGAACCTGGAAAAAAATGGAAATTTGATTTCAAAACCGGGATTTTTTTTTTCCCCTTCAGATTTTAGCATGACAAAGCATCTATGTATAGCACATGCACAGTCGAGATATTCACAGAACAGACCAGGAACTCTATCGCTCGGTTAGTGCCATGCCTCTTTGATGGCAGCAGCAATACCAGTTTGCATTTTTCCGATTGAAGCGACCATGTTATCACTTCCAAGGTACTGAAAAGGAATTTTACCTCATTTCGTGAAGAGCCTTGTTACATAACGGTATTGTAGTAATCAAAGTTACTTTAAAGCGTTACTTAAAATCTTGGTGAATTTATATTGCACTGTCTTGAAGAAACAAATGGTCTTAATGGATTTGGGGATTTATGGACTTAGAGATTTCAACATCATCTTGCAGGAGTGACACTGAAGGATAGGGCAAGGAGTAAAGACTTCAGGAGCAGACTAAAGACCAAATGTATAGTAGAAGGAATAGAGAATGGACTGAGAAAATGGTTCTCTCATTAACAGAGTGAAATGAGAAAGAAAGTCAGTGTTGTTGCACAAACCAAAAGGGTAATGGGATATGGGAAGACCACAAAAGAAATGGCTAGATCAGGAGCAGGTGGAAGAGCAAGCCTTGTGGGTTACTGGGACACGGGAAGAGGAGACATGTCGAGCAACCTGTAATTTATGATGATGATAATGATGATGATAAACTTCGAGAAATCCATAGGCGTGTGGTAAGCATGTGGAGATCAAATAAATTTCTTTAAGTTTTACTGTTTATAATTTCTTTTTTGTGCTATCTCTTTATTATTTCTGTATTCTCTTAATAGAGTGTTTAAAGGAAGGTTAATAACAGAGATATACCTTGATTGATTGTGAAAATTTTGTTCTAGTTTTGTTTTATATTCTACAAGGTTCATAGTGTCCCTAACACCTTCTTTTAATTTCCCTCTTAGAAAGTTGAAAATCACAATGTTGTTTATGAAGAAACTTGCGTCTAACTAATATTCCTAAGCTTGTGCGGAATGATATTTGTCAGAATATAACCAATATTCTCTCAACATACTTTAATAACTCTACAAGACTTAGTAATAAAATTGTTGAAAGTCTAAAAGAAACCAAATGGGTTTTTACATGTTAATCGATAATAACCAATAATAGTAATACCATGTGATAAAGGGGGTGCTGTTGCCACAATGAACCTTGGAGAGTATAAAACAAAATTAATTCAATTTTCATGATCAATCCAGTTATACGCCTATTATTGCTATTAAAACTCCTTCAAACACTCTATTAAGAGAATTTTTAAAAAAATTATATAGAGATGGCACAAAAAAGAAATCATAAACAGTAAAACGTAAAGAAATTTATTCTTATTCAGGCGTATGGATTTTTCAAAGTTCATAAATTCGAAAACCCAGTAAGACCTGACAGCAAAACTCATTCAATTCACCACAATATAAATTCAGCTCGATTTTAAGCAACTTTTATTATCAGAATACCTACATGTCATGAAAAACAGTATAGATACTTTTGAAAAATGAACAAAATTAAGGTAGAAAATAACCACTGATTAATATCACTTGATTTAAAAAACATAGTTTCCATCAATTTGTCACTCTCTTATAGCACAAGATCTAATCAAAACTGATAGAGAAAACAATGTAAAACCCCTTTTTCCCCTTGATGAGCTTCAAGTAGCTGTAAGATTTATACTAGGTATTATTTATTTCTTTTTTAATGAAAAATATTAACTACAAAAATAGGGCACACCAACTGGGGGCTCTTGTAGCTCATTGTTCTCAGAAATTGTAATAACAGACATTGAGTCTACTTTTCATGTTGAATTCTATCAAAGATATGTTGATGATACTATGATAATATTAAGAGAGGAGAAAATAGAACCATTATTTAAAGCATTTAATGAGTGTAACTCATCAATAAAATTAGAACTCATCAATAGAAAAGGAATCCAATAAACAAGTAAACTTTCTTGTTATAACTGACTTAAGAACACACAATAAATTAGTAACCTACTGGTATATGAAACCAATAAATGCAGGAGATGAATTTGTAAGCTTCTGCGACCTGAGTTATTTGATTCTTTGCTGTCCAGGATAAGCCATTTCTCTGTGGATGGAGCTGACATTTCGGCCACAACACAATGGTTGAAATATCAGCTTGATTGACAGAGACACAGCTCATCCCAGACAGCACAGAATCAAATAAACGCAGGAATTTTATTGAACTATCAATCTAATTATCCAATGAATATGAAAAGGGCTATAATTTTTAATCTTGTTGACTGTATCTGACCCAAATTTTTATCAAGAAAGTTTTATATTTTATTTATATTTATTTACATGGGAGCATTTTCTTGAGAATAAAGCATATAAAAGGTTAAATAAAATGTGAAACAAACACCTAGAGAGAAAAAATTATTAGACAAATCAGAGAAATACACAATATCAGAATGCAAAGTTTACATACAATGAAATACGCAATACAGTGCAATAAACAAAGTAAACGTGCAAAGAAATACACAATATCATAATACAAAGTTCACAAAGTTTAATACATAAAATGAGGGACAAAGGAAAAACTAAACAAATACATAGAGAAAAAGAATTATTACTCACAAATCAGGGAAATGCACAATAATAATAAAATACAATTAAAAATGCCTTTTAGATGAATGATTTATTACATAACATATACAACTAAATATTAGCAGGTACTACTTAATATTAGTATGATCAAAATATCAGTAATTATCATATCCAAGGACATACGAGATTAGAAATAAAAGCTTCATTTTGCACTTACATTTTGTAATTGATATTTTATAACATTAATAAGAATTTTATAAAATTCTTTGCAAATTTGCTTTATACATGTTTTTTCATAAGCAAATAGTAAGAGAGCCATGAGGGTTTAAATCTTCACTAAATGTTCCTATTTTATTCTGAAATTACTCCAAATTACAGATGATCTCTCTAATGCAGTCTTTTTTAATTCCTAAGGTCATTATAATATAAATGTTTTTACTACTTACTGAAATTAAACTCTTTGAAAGTTTTGTTAAGAGTGACAGTAGGACTATACGTTCCATTAACTTACACGATTTACATTTTTAAAAAGCATTTTAATAGGATGAAATGACGTTTGTTTTCTTTTTTATGTTAATAATAATATAAACAACAACAATTATTATTATTTACATCACGTGAAAGACTGTCCCATGTACAAAGAAATTTTGTACATAATGTTTTGATGTTTCCCTTCAATATTCCATCAATATTCAATGCAGATGAAAACCGTCAGTAAGAAAGAGCCAGCAAATAACTTGCATTGCTAACAAGGATTTGGTTGCAGAAGAAATGTGGTATCCCCTTTCCTGACGAGAGATGTTGTGCAGGCCAATAAGAAGGAGATCGCACAGGGATTTTGCCCTGTCACTAATGTTGATGAGGCCATGCAGTTCATGTTTCATACAACTCTGATGAATATCACTTTCTTATTGATGATTTAATGAGTAAATACAGTGTAATTACCAATCCGATAGCTGTCCAGCATAATCGCGCCTCCTTCAAAGTTATAGAGAAGACATATTGATATAAGACAGCAAATAGAACATCAATTGTACATTTTTGAAATGTTGAGCAAAGTATTAAATGACTGCTGGTATCAAAACAAGAAATATAATATTGATGATGCACGTCTTGAGTCTTTAAAACACCAGCTGACCTATTCACAGGGGCATCAATTAAAAAAATACCTACTACCAGACTATTTCTCACATAATTGAATCATCATACCAGATAGGTTGCTATTATTGTCTTTGTCTGAGATTTTATAACTCGAGAACTGAGCAATTGACTCAAAGAAGAAGAAAAAAATATCATTGTTACATGCCATTGTATCAGCAATGAGACAAATTGTCTTTTCTCTTCCCTTTTGACTGCAATTAGCATATATGTGTATATGCTTTTGGTATTTTTTTAAAATGAAGTGTTTTGCTGCACTTTAGCTAATTTTTCAAGTTTTCAGGATGAATGCCCCAAAATTATATTACCTATTAATATTCGTAGAGTATGCAAATAAAATATGCAATCAAGTGCTAATTTGTATACCAATTTGGTTAATTTTTCAATTGTGTATAAAGATAATTTCTTTATTAAAAATGGTATTATTGTACTTCATTGTTTAAATTTTAAATTTCATGTAAATTGATGTTATTAGTAGATTACTTTCATACCACATTTCTAAAAGACGTGCAGCTCTCGCTAATTGTCCTTCAGCATCTTTTGTTTGAAATGTTATTTTTTTCAGGTAAGAAAGAATGTTAGTTGAACGTTCCAGATATTATTTTATTAATCACATTTAGAAAGGAAATTAATGGCATTCTATTTTCTAGATATTTCTTTCAAAATCAAAAAAATGAAGATCAAAGTCAAACTTTAAGTTGATATATTAACATATTCTTTTTGAAGTTAATTTCTGTTGTGAATGTTAGCTGACTGTTATGCAGACAGTATCATCCTATTTAGGTAAGTTTCATTGCAAGCAT